ACGTTCCCCCGGACGATGGTCTCCCAACGCCCCCTACTCCTGCCATTGGTACACCGACCGCAACATTATGCGCCTTTCCCCGCATGGAAAACGCGAGCTCTCCCAACTGCTAGAAACTGCTATTACAGCTACACCGGCAAATTCATCAACTTGCGCCGGTGGTACTGCAGACTATCCCTGCTACGGGCCTTGGTTAGGAGGTCCGCGTGTTGCTCCGTTGTCGGAACAAACTTGACCGAAATATCCCCCGACCTAAACAATCCGCGGATGAAATGAAATCTCACGTCGATGTGTTTCGTGCGACCTGAGCTGAGGGGGTTCTGCACCAACTCTATGCCCCCCTGGTTGTCCTCAAGGACCTGGATGCTGCTACCACTGGTCTCTGGGGCAACAAAACGAAAGCACAGCACGCACAAACAACGCCTCCTTGACGCCCTCCCCGGCAGCTATGTATTTGGCTTCCGTCGAAGACAAAGACACGATGCTCTTTGTCTTGCTACCATGGCTGACTACGGTACCTCCAACCATCGTCGCCAACCCTGACACCGAACGCCTATTCTCCGTGTCAGCGTAGCTAGCGTCTACGTACACGGCCAGCTCTAACCCCGATCCTCGTTTGTAGGTGATGCCGACGTCCCTCGTCTCCTTCAAGTAGCCGAGGATCTTCTGGATGGCATCCCAGTGCCTCTTCGCCGGGGCGTGGGCATGGCACGCTACCGCACGCACGGCGAACGAGACGTCTGGACGCGAGAACGTCGACACACACATCATGCTGCCGATGGCCTCCCTCACCGGGCACTTCCCACCCTTCTCGTCGTCTCGCTCCGGTCCTAGGTCGACACTAGGGGAAGCAGGGATGCGGGAGGTCGATTGTACATCAAAGCGTTTCACCATGCTATCAATGTACGCGGTTTGGGAGATTCTAAGAGTCCCAGCCTCTACATCTCTCTCAGTGGCGCACCCGTCAAACCATTCGCATTCTCCAAGTTTTTGGTGGGAAATTTCTTGTTGAAGAGAAGGAAGCAACTCCTCGCAATCCTCGTCAGACCCAGCCACCAAAATGTCATCCACGTAGATCACGAGAATCATCACCACGACTTCATCTACCATCTTGCGGAAAATACACGGGTCCGCCTCGCACTGCTCGAACCCGTTCTCGACTAGCGTCTCAGCAGCGTGGTACCCCCACTACCTACCGCTCCGCTTCAGACCGTAAATCGAACGCTCGGCCTTAAGAATCTTATGCGATTTGTCCCTGCACCCAGAGGGGAGCCTCAGAAAAACCTCCTCGTCTAGCGTGGCTTGTGTGTACGCCTGCTTCACATCCCAGTGATTTGAGGTTCATGCCCTTCTCGTTTGCTACCGCAAGCATCAGTTTAATGGATGCGGATGATGGGCAAGGGGAAGACGGATGGAAACAATCGACGTTCGGGATTTGCGAAGACTCCCTAGCAACCAGACGCGCTTTGAACTTTTCTATCTCCCCTTCCTTGTTGGTGTTCCAACAAAAACACCACTTTGAGCTCACAGGCCTGTGCCCCTCTGGCGCGCCGTCTATGAATGAAAATGTCCCCGTGCCCAAGTGCCATTCACACTCTTCCCTCATGGCCTGTTCCCACCCCTCTCTGTACACAGACTTAACAACGCCGGCTACGGTCATGGCGGGGGGTTCTACATCACTCGGACGCTTGCCAATGGGGAATTCACTTAGCTCGAGGGACGCCAGAGCCGTCTCGAAGGCGTCTGGCGAGTTGAGCATGAGGCCCACCGCACCCAGCAGGAAGTCCTCCGCCTCTTGGCGCACAGGGTGGGCCTCCTCCGCGCGCTCGAACAGCAACTCTCGCACCGCCCTTGCCTCTAGCCCTTCCGCCACGTGAAGTACCGCCGAGAGCATTCAGCTGGTGAACTCCTCCGTGCTGCTGACGGGCAGGCTCGCCGCCGAAGCGAGCAGGGCTTCGGCACTTGTCGGCGACGGGGACGACTCGTACCTCGGATGTCGGCGAGGGTTCTCCCTGATGCGGCGGCTGGTGAGTCCCGCCGGCTTGTCGAAGCGGGCGAGCCGCCAGGCCTCTGGCCCGCGGAGCGCTGGGAGATCCATCTCGCTGTCGCTGTCGCTGTCGCTGCCGCTGCCGCTGGTGCTGCCACTGTTGCTGCCGCTGCCGCTGCCGCCGCTACAGCGGCGGCTGCTGTTGCGACGGTCGTCCTCGCCGCCGCCCACATCGGCCATGCTGGCCGACGTGGCAGATGGAGCGACGCTCGCGCCCTCACTGCTCGAGGGGGTNTTGAAACCTGGTCCTCCATCCACGGGTTCTCCCTCCGCCCTCCCTCCACCTTGGCTCGACGCGCCCTCCCCAACCTCGTCCTCCCCAGTCGCGAATTCCTCTTCCTCCTCTGCGATGGGAGGCAGCGACCGGGGCAGGGCGGTGGGGGCAGCGGGTACGGATTGCCAGGTGAGAGCTGTGATCGCTTGGCGTTTTTCGTTCAAGATGCGCACGCAATCACGGTTGGTGTTGATTCCCGGGCCGAGGCAAGAACACTTTTGGGCTTTCGGCTCGGACTTGTGCGTGCGCTTGACCTTGTATACGGCAGGTTTGAGGAACGGGGACGCGCCCTCCCCAACCTCGTCCTCCCCAGTCGCGAATTCCTCTTCCTCCTCTGCGATGGGAGGCGGCGACTGGGGCAGGGCGGTGGGGGCAGCGGGTACGGATTGCCAGGTGAAGTTGCGAGCTGTGATCGCCTGGCGTTTTTCGTTCAAGATGCGCACGCAATCACGGTTGGTGTTCGTTCCCGGGCCGAGGCAAAATNGGGGCAGCGGGTACGGATTGCCAGGTGAGAGCTGTGATCGCTTGGCGTTTTTCGTTCAAGATGCGCACGCAATCACGGTTGGTGTTGATTCCCGGGCCGAGGCAAGAACACTTTTGGGCTTTCGGCTCGGACTTGTGCGTGCGCTTGACCTTGTATACGGCAGGTTTGAGGAACGGGTACGTCGCCCCCGGCTGGCGAGGGTGCCCGTGCCACATCTCGTACGGCGACTTCTTCTCTGGGTTGGATGTGGTGGAGGTGCAGTTCAGGGCGTTGTATGCCCAAGCTATGGCCTACGCCCAAAGGGAGGGGTAGTTCGGTGCTCCAGGGTAAAAGAGTTGGCGCTTGGATACGGGCGGCAAGTGCTGCATCCTTGATCAAACCCAGTGCTCTCTCAGCTATACCGTTGTATTCTGGGCTGTGTGCGGGGGTGAACTCCTGTTTGATGCAGTACGTCCGGCACACCCTGCCGAACTCTCCCTCAACAAACTCTCCTCCGTTGTCACATCTCACGACCATGACGTCGGACGGGGCACGGTCTGCCCGGTTTTCTGCGAGGTACCTCGCGAATGCCTCAGCTGCGTCTGATTTGTGCTTCAGGAAATAGACACGGTTCCACCTTGTGTAATCATCCTTGACAA